ATTATTATTATTATAAAAAGAACTCAAGTTGACTGCAAGATTGATTCTGTCTGCGAGAGGAGCAATACAGCACCCACGAGGAAATCTACGACTATAGAGGCCACCACAACTAGCCAAATCTTGCGCTCGCTGTTTCGAAAAGTGGCTTTTCAGAAACCCCTCCTTCGAAGCTGCAGATCACCTGTGATCTGGGGACCAAGTCGAATGCCTGAAGAGCTCACTCCTTTCAGAGGTCTTGCAGAACAAGCTCTAGGAGCGGGTCACAGAAGTTTTCCTGCAAACTAAAACTTTTAAGGCTACATTTACTAAAACCTATTTCCACAAAGAGATAGGGTGCCTTGGCTGCTATCGCCAACATCAGATCGAAATTCAAGGGGGGGGGGGGGAGTTGGCAGAAATAAAGAAAAGGAAAGGCAAGCCTTTTCCAGCGTTACGCTTCACTCCTGTAAAAAGCCTAAACAGTTAAAAAAAAAACAGCCCAGTGCCGTGGCTCTCGACCTTCAAAACAACCCCCCAAAATGTCTCAATCCGAGAGGCAAAGTTTGGAGCGGCGGCCCAGGGCTGCCTTCCTGACCTGCGAGGCAGCATCGCGACCCTAGCGGGGACCGGGCACCGCGAAGCCTCGGAGTTCCAAAGCCCCGAGCTCGACTGGCTCGGCTGCTCCGGCCACCGCGCCCCGCACACTTCCGGGCCCCAAACCGTGGCCCCAACACGCCCACCCGCTTACCGGCATCATTTTGGACCCGAACCGCATGGACGCGGGAGTCCGGCCGCGGCCTGGCCGAGCACAACTGGCCCGGGGGTCGCGGGCCCGGGGAGGCCGAGCGAGGACGAGGCCGCGCGCCCGGCGGCCGACCTGTTGCAAGGCAGAGGCGCGCCGATCCCCTCAGCCAACCGGGACGCCACCGAGCCCCCGGCCCACTCCCCTCGCCGGTCCCCGGGACGCGACACGGCTTTGTCTTCGGCGATCGCGACGCCCTCCTCCTCCTCCTCTCCGAAACCAACTAATCCCCGTCGGGCCCCCACTGAGGCGCTCCGGCCCCGCCCCCTCCCGCGAGGCCCCGCCCGCGGCGCGCCCGGAGGCTTGAAGGAGGGGACGAGGGAGGGAAAGATCCCTGGCCGGGGCGACGAGAGCGCAGGCGCAGTAGCTGGGGGCGGGGCCTGAGGGGCGGGAACCTTTCGCCCCCAGGAGCACAGAGTGGACTCGGGGGCGGGGCAGAGCTGCTCGTGTGCGCGCCTCCAGGCGGAGCCAGGCTGCCGAGAACAATAATCGTAAAACACTGGGATGGAGCCCAGGGCTGTGTCCCTCACCTCCACGACAGTCCTGAATTGCACAAGACACTTGAGCCCTTTGCCTTAGGGACCGTGATCCTACCTCGAGGCGCAGAGAGGCCCCGCGGCGCCGCGTCACACACCTGACTCGGAGAGCCCTGGGGGATCCGACCGCCCCACAAGATGGAGACTCGCGAGTCCGCCTGGCCCCGGAGCACGTTCTTGGCTGCAGGAGGTCTCGAATCTGTCCTTCCTTTCCAACTCCTCAGGCCAAGTCCACGGCCTCATCTAAAAGGTTACTTGCTATGATGTAAGAAGAAAAAAGTGCTTCGACATTCCTGAGCCGGGAGGTGTTGTGTATGCTTTTGAACCGTCAAAGGTTTGAAAAATGTGCAAAGCAGATTTCTGAGGCGCTCTTCCGCTTGTCACACCCTATAAACTTAACACGAATCCTTTCTTGCTTTGGAAGCGCATGCTGGGAAAAGTGCAGTGTTCTGCTTTGATTGAACAACACTAGCTGAGGACCCCTCTCCCACCATCCAGAGAGACATAGGCTTCAGAAACTGGAACTCCCAGAAGCTATTTCAGGTTAATTAAGTAGCGCATGCTAGCTCACTCGGAATTATATACCATTACACAAGATTCCCAACAACGAAATGAAATAAAGCACCTGGATTTATGTAGCTTCAAGAATAAAGCCAGCTGAATGTGGTGGCATACATTTGTAATCTCAGCGCTCGTGAGGCTGAGGCAGGAGGATGACGATGAATTCTAGGACAGTCTGGCCTGAAAGAGTAAGCCCTTACCAAAAAAAAAAAAAAAAAAACAAGAGAGAAAAAAAGCTCACCTTTTTAAAATTAAATTAAAAATTGACCAGCTTGGTAGAATAGGTCTCAAAACATAAACTAAAAAAGGAGTCTGGGAACATAGCTCGGTGATACAGTGCTTTTTTAACGTGTGTAAGCCCTGGTTTTAATAAAAAGAATCAACAGTCCTTGTTTGAAGTAGTGATGCACACCTGTCCTCTCCCAGCACTGGGAAGGCCAAGGCAGGAAGAATCAGAAGTCTGAGGCTAGCCTGGACTACATGCCTTGTCTCCAAATACATACATGAACAACAAATAAAAGAATGTTTCTTTTGTTTGTTTTTTTTTTTTCCGAGACAGGGTTTCTCTGTGGTTTTGGAGCCTGTCCTGGAACTAGCTTTTGTAGACCAGGCTGGTCTCGAACTCACAGAGATCCGCCTGCCTCTGCCTTTTCTTAATTTAACATATCCCTAACCAAAATTGCCATCAAACTCCCTATCGGCACCATCCCAGTTCCTATATCTAAGTATGAAATTATAACTGATGCAACTAAAATTTAATGTTCTAATGAATCCTAGTTTAGTTAGAGTCTATTAATTTTAAGATTATCCTGGGTTAAGTAAAGGAAATCCAGACCTCCATTTATTCAGTAATATTTATCAAAATACTATGTATTCTAAGTACTATGGATCAATCAATCAATAAACAAAATAAAGTTGAATAGGCAATAAAACCAGTATTTAAGTGTTTTGGTAATAAATATTTTATTTTAAAACCATTTATATTTCCCAGGGTAAGGAAATAGACTATATAAGGATGAGGCTTTACGATGTATTTTTTAATAGGGTATTCAAAACAGGCCTCACTGAGAAGCACAAACATGAAGGAACAAGCTACATGAATCTGTGAAAAAAAGCTTCCAAGCAGATTAGCCGATACTTAGCCCCAGAGAGAGGATCCTGCTTAGTGTATTCAGGTCCAAGATAGTGTATGAGACAGAGGAGCGTATATAAGGCAGGGTAATATGCAGGATTGAGTAGGAGCTGGAGAGATGACTCAATGGCTGGAAACATTTGCTGCTTTTCCAGTGGACCTGAGTTTGATTCCCAGCACCCACCCACAAAGCAGATAACGACTGTCAACTCTAGTTCTGGGGTGGGGAATCTGTTGCCCTCATCTGGCTACCATGGGCATTGCATGTACATGGTACACATACATACACATAAAAATAGTCAAGTAAACCAAGGCCTATTATTATAAGGACATTAGTGTTTAGGAAGTAAAACGGGTGTAGTAGTTTGAATGAAAAGAGTCCCATAGGCTCATGGGAACTGGCACTATTGGGAAGTATGGTTTTGTGGTCTCTCTGGAGCAAGTGTAGCGTTGTTGGAGGAACTGTGTCACTGGAGGCGGGCTTTGGGGTCTCAGAAGCTCAGGCTTGTCCTAGTGTGTCTGATTCTCTTCCTGCTGTCGGCCAATCTGGATGTAGAACTCTCAGCTCCTTCTCCAGCATCATGTCTGCCTGCATGCCACCAGGCTTCCCACCAGGATGATGCTGGACTAAACCTCTGAAACTGTAAGCCAGTCCCAATTAAATGTTTTCCTTTATAAGAGTTGCCATGGTCATGATGTCTCTTCACAGCAATAGAAACTCTAACTAAGGCGGTCGGGAAACAATGAGAAAGGGGTTTTAACAGAAGAATGATGGATACTATTGTATTTCAATAGGATCATCCAGCTACTAGAAAAGACTGAGAGAGTCCATAGGAGGCCCTTATAATGCTATAGACAGGAGATGAAAGTAAGGGGTATGGATGATCAAGGCGGGTGTCATGACAGGTGGGCAGATGGAGGATCTATTATAGCACGAATTCTAATTGGTCTCAATAATAAAAACCAGAAGTCAGCTATGGGGTGAAAGCTGAGAGATCAGAGAAGCAGAGCAGCCAGCTACTAGAGAGACCTTTTATCTCTACCAATGCTCAGGCTCAAGAGGCCCTGTCTCTAGGAATCCTCAGATGGCATCTGAGCTCCTGTCTTCCTCCCACCTGCGTTCCTCTCTCCACCCAGCCATATCCCTTCCTGTCTCCACCTCCTTGGTGCTAGGATTAAAGGCATATGACTCCCAAGTACTGGGATTGAAGGTGTGAGCCACCACCCCTAGCTCTGTTTCTCTTTTAGACTGGATCAATCTAGTGTAGCCCAAGGTGGCCTTCCGTCTGCTTCTGTTTCCTGAATGCTGGCATTAAAGGTGTGTACCACCACTGGCCTCTATGGCTAACTGGTGGCTTAGCTCTGCACTCTGATCTCAGACAAGCTTTATTTGTTAGATCACAAACAAAATATCACCACAGTCTATTCTTTGACAGGTGAGCCCACAGGGTTTCCACACAGTAAATACAGAATGCAAGAGAAGTCCAGAATGGCTCCAAGATCTTGGTCCTGGAGAGTGAAAGTTGTCACAAACTGAGATGGGTAACCTGAGGCGCACAGGTTTTATGGAAGAAGAAATCAATCCGGAGCATACTAAATTCTAAAATCCTAACAAAAATGAAAGAAAATCTAACACTGAGTTTCTGCACAGCTGTGGAGAGCAAGTCATTTTCAGCAGTTCATACAGGGACTGTTTGACACCACAAATCTTTCCTATTCCATCTGTTTCCAGTTCCTTCCTATAGCAAACAGCAGCCTGAGATATGATCTACATGCAGAAAAAGAATTCCTATTGGTCACTAATGCTCCAGTTCCCAACAGGTCAAGGAATGGGGAGCTCATCTCGTTATTACCAGAAAGCTGACTATACACAGTACATTTTGTTTAGTCTGAACACTGGCAACTCTAGATTAGTTTAAAAAAAAAAAAAAAACTACTGCAATAAAAGGGAAGCAAGAAGAGAAGAATGCGAATCACTTACTCCTGCTTGTCTTTACTGTTGTTGACACAATGCCCTGCCCAAGGGAAGGGAGAGAGAAAGGGACAGTCGCTGGCAATTTGTCCTGAAACTCACTTCCAGCCAACTGAGAATTCCCAGCTGCCAAATACCAGGTATGTTTATAGTTGGGAGATTTTTTTAAATCCCAGTGCCCTGAAACTGAGGAAGCCTGTGCGTGCTTTCGTTCGCTCCTTCAGTTCCAGGTAAGTCACACAGGGCTGTCGGATGGGTGGCTGCTGCCTTCCAAGGTTCACTTCTCCTCTATTCCCCCCTTCACCTGTTTACTCCTCCAGGAGCCTCAGCTTGGTCCTCCCCACCCCGTCATTCTGCATTTGACTCCAAGAAAGATAAATGAAATTACCACAAGCTGGTTAGGGAGGAGCTGCCTTCTCGCTTTACCTCACCCCACCCCTAGGCACAGTGCAATTACCTATCTGTTTGGCATGTGTCTCCCCCATGCTTCTCTTGTCTGTTTCTCACAGATGTTCCAACCCTCGACTCCCCCTCTCTCTCAGGAGACACATTCCCATGTTACTCGGTCAGTAAGATGAAGACTACAGACCCTGCTCCTTTGCAAACCCATTCTCCTCCCTCCCCTTCCCTTGCCTTTCTTATCCTCTTCCTAGTTCTCTTACTGGTTTGACTATTACAGCCATCACTCCATACTCACAGAGGACTGGTTTTAGGATTTCCCCTAGATACCGAAATCTTCAAATGCCCAATCACTTGCATAATGCATATGGAGGCACATGCTTGTAATCCCGGCTCTGGGAGTCTGAGGCAGAAGGATCAAGAGTTTAAGGCCAGCCTGGGCAAGATCCAGTCAATGAGTAGATCAGTCAATCAAATTGTGTATTCCTGTGCATATTGCAGTATACTTTGAATCACCAATGTATTACTCATGCTATTTGATACAATGTAAATTCCTTACAGATACTTACTAACCTATAAAGAGATAAGGACAAGGAAAAAAGGGAATAGAAGTTGGTGTCTGACACAATATTTCACTGAAAATACTCAACCTGAGCTCGGTTGACTTTGCCTGTGCAGGGCCTGTAGATCTGGAGAATGAACTTCACTCTTATGTGCCTCTGCTTTGCCAGGCACTAGTCCAGATTTTAGAGGCAACAGAGAGCCTCCCTTCTTGAAGCTCATGTTTGGAGTAGAGAAACTAGACAATAAGCCAACGGATGATGACATCAGCAATGCTGGGTGAGGAGAGACAATCAAGTGAACCTAACTACAGTTTCTGTTTCAGACTGGAACCAGAGAGGGCCGCTGAGAAATCAAGTGATGAAGAGGTGGGACTCTGGGCAGTGGGACAGCCAGGGCAAAGGGGCTGAGACTGTGTCATGCTTGGCATCTTAGAGAAGTGTGGGAAGGGCTTGGAGCAGTGAGGACAGAGACTGGAAAGAGCTGGAAGATGAGGAGAGAGCCTGGAGCATCTAGGACAATTTAGTGGTCCCATTATCCCCCCCCCCCACCAGACACTCCATCTTTGCAACTTTACTTTTTAATACATTTTAATTTATGCATAACAATTGTGGATACGTATGGGTACAATACATATTTCATCGTATGTGTACAGTGTCTAATGACCAAGTGAGAGTAACTGGCACATCTTCCCCTCAGACGTTTGCCGTTTCTTTGTGCTGGAAACATTCAAAGTCTCTCTATAATGAAATATACAACTAATTGTTGTCAACTATAGCTACTTTACAGGTTCCTTGGCCTATACGCTTACCTAGTATTTTTCCTGCATTCTCCTCAGTTAGCAGTATTCGAAGACCAGGGGATGGGGTGGACGTTTGTATTCCCAGCTAAGTATACCACTTAACCTATATGACAAGGCTTGTGTATCTTTGAAGTTCCTACCTAATATGACTCTTGAAAGTTCTATTTGATGTTTCTCAAGAGGAGCTAAGCTCCACACTCCATGCTGCTCAACTGTAGCTCATGACACAGTACAGACAAAACCTCATGTCTAGCTAGACCGAACGGCAAGAAATACGTATGCAGCTTCGACCCTAACATTGTGCCTATGGCACAGTAGCATTCAGAGATGCAAAAGTGGTGGTACTTAACGAATCTCTCTCTCTCTCCCTCCCTCCCTCCCCGCCCCCCTCTGCCTGCCTCCTAGGTAGACTGACTCTCTTGATTTTCGCCATGGGCAGGTCTTCTTGCATCTGTACCTCCAGTCATTCTCTAATACAGTGGTTCTCGGCCTTCCTAACTCTGTGACCCTTTAATAGACCTCACGTTGTGGTGACTCCTCAACCATAAAACTATTTTCATTGCTACTTCATAATTATAATTTTGCCACTGTTATGAATAGTAATGTAAATATTTTTGGAGCTAGAGGTTTGCCAAAGGGGTCGTGACCCACATGTTGAGAGACGCTGCCCTAACCTAACGAGTACAAACTTGGTTCTATCTTCTCACCTCCTGTTTTTATATTGTTTATTGAGCAAAGGATTATTTTTTTGTTTTCTGATTTGTTTGTTTGCAGTATTGGAGACTAAACCTAAGAAAATATCATTCCAGAGTTCTTCTTACTTTTTAATTTTTATTTTGATACAGAGCTTGCTAAATTGCCCAGAGTGGTCTTGAACTTGCCATCTTCCTGCCTCTACCTTGACCTTCCAAATTGTTGGGATTATAAACTTGTGCCACCAGCCTAGCCTGCCTACCCCTCAAAAAATGTTTTCTATGTTTTTAAATCATGAGGGAGGGAATCCAAATATTTGTGCCACGTTAAAAGGACATTTAAAGAAAATTTCAGTCTACAAGTAATATCTTATCAGAACACAGCCACACATTTATTAATATGCAGTCTGGGGCTGCTTTCAGGGCAGAATAACAGAGTGTAACAATTGCGACAGAACCCGCATGGCCTGCGAGGCTTTGGATATTTATTGTCTAGCATGGAGAAGTGGCCTGTAATCACAGCTCTTCTGGTGACTGCGGCACCAGGATGGCTTCAGCCCAAGAGTTTGGGCCAGCAAAAATATACAGTGTGTGTGTGTGTGTGTGTTAGTACTCGGCAGCAGCCATGAACCTATCAACACCTGTGTAATCATGTTGTTCTCAGACTTCAAACCTTTCCATCCTGTGGTTAGAGGAGGGGTGGGGCGGAGCTAAAGGATGGAGGTGCCAAGTGAGGAGACACGAAGGCCTGTCTATGCCTTTCTGTCTCCTTGTGTTTTTTTCTAAATTCTAGATAACAGAACAGAAAGACATGCCTCCTGTCCTGTCCTATGGTTGCAAGGCTAAACAACACTCTTAACATGGCCTCCTCTGAGCCCTTGCATGATCCCCCCTTTTTACCCACCCACCAAAGTGGTCAGGATAAGAGAGAAGTACAGTCCTCATAGTCATGACAAAAATACTGAAAACCAGCACCTTATGGGAAGATACGATGCTCTAAAGACGTGTCTGTAATGTTACTCCTATTCTACCTGACTAAACTAATGTAATTGCCGCACGGAGCGCGTAAGTTTCTCTGCTGTTGTCGGTTCTCTCTCCATGACCTCAGGCTCTTCATCTGATCCTACCTCTCGTCCCAGCCCTCCACAGAAACAGCTCTGGCTAGAGTGGCCGGAAATCTCTAATTCACGGACAGGATAAGCCTGTTCTGTCTTCATCTCCTTGACCTCCTGTGGCTGTGGCTCCTCCCGTCTCCTCTGTACACCCTTTTCCTTTGACTTTTAAGGATCTTCTTTTCCTTCTGTCTGACTGCTGCTCTGTGCCCTTTGAAGTCTTTCTGTTCTTCACTGGCCTTTGCATGCTGAGGGTAACTGACTCTTAGTCCTACCCCACTTCCCATTTCCCTGGTCATGCTCATCCTACACTGTTAAACCTTATCTACACAAATGTCAATATTTTTTTTTATTCCCAACTCTGGACTGCCCTGAACTCTAGAGCTGGGCTATTAAATAGGAAAGTTGCTAGCAATACTACAAAGGACTTCTTTTTTTATGTGCTGAGGATAGACCCCAAGTCCTATAGGAAGGCTATTTTCTGCCCCTGAGCTACACCCCAACCCCCTATTGACTACTTGAAATGTGACTAGAGGAATAGAGAGACTACATTTTTTAATGATTTGTGTGTGTGTGTGTGTGTGTGTGTGTACATGAGTACAGATGCCCGCGGAGGCAGAGTTGTCAGATCTCTCTGGAACAGGAGTTACAGGCAGTTGCGAACTGGCTGATGTGGGGTGTTCTCCCACAACAATCCAATCCAATCCTTCAGTGCCTCTGCTGAGTGCCACCAGGGCTGGGGCCTGTCAGTGGGAACACAATGAGGAAGACCCAAAGCGTGTGTGCTCTAGTGGAGAACACTCTACCTGGAAGCGCATGAATGAAGTCAAATGTCTCTAGTCAAACACAGGGAATAGTCACCTAGTTCCCTACCTTGCCATTGTGAACAGCCAAAAAAAGATTCATAGGACAGAGAATTCCCAAGCTGAGACTGAAAAAAAAGAACTACCAGGAAGTTTACATTAAAAACAGAAGAAACTTTATTTTCATTAAATTTAAAACAGACTCCGTGATGTGCACCTCTAATCCCAGCTTCTTGAGGGGCTGAGTTAGTAGTATCACTTGAGTCTAGAAATTTTGAGAACAGCCTAGACCACAAGTAAGACCCCTATCTCAAGTAAAATATAAACAGTTTTCACTGAGTTCATTCCATGTACACAGCAATAATATATGTACAATAAAATATGTACAAAGTTCCTAGGGGGAAACTATGTACTGGAGAGGAGAGAATTGTGGACAGAAATATCTATAACTACGTCTGTTCTTTATAGCACACAGTGCACGCCACACATGCATTCGGTCCCTCCATGAACATTTGTTCATAAGTATTAACCTTCACTAGCCCTAAAGGGGAGGCTATGGTCTCTATTTTACAGAGCAACTGAAGCTTAGAGGCACTGACTTGTTGATCCATTCCACAAATACTTCTAAAGAATTTACCTTGTTTGGATAGGTATAATTCCAAGCTCTAGAGATATGGTGGCGGAAAAGACAGATAAGGGCTTGTCCTGCTTCTGAAAACTATGTACTCTAATTGGGATGAACCAAAAATATGTAAATAAGAGCAATACTAG